CAAACAAATAAATAAATTCTGGTGTAAAACAAAAGACATTTTCCCAGACCTGGGTCAGACACTCCCCAGACATTATCATCTCAGCCCCCAGGACTCATTTCTCCAGGGGCCACTGCCCTTTATTTTGCCAGCCCATGTACTAACCCCTTGCTCTCAGGCTTGGACTTTGGGGCTACACCCCTGGCTTCAGGAAAAACGCACAGGGCCAGTTCTTCCAAGAAACTTTTTCTCCCTTGCTCAAATACTCCATATTCAGACTGGTTTTAAAACTGCTCTCAGCCAACACATGCAAGTTCCTCTGAGCAGGGAGGAGCAGCATGGGTGTCCCTCCTCACATTCATGGGGCCATGGTGAAAGCCCAATGTACTGGTGCCACATAAGCTGACACCTTGAGCTTCTTTTCATATGGGATTTAAATATCATCTAGGCAGTCACTGTGCTCATCCACATGGAGATAAACCAACGTTCTGACCGGACAAGCAGAGAGACTTCACAAAATGTGACCTAGGTATTCAAACATTTGGTATTGTGGGGGAAGCTGGAAAACAAATTGGTGGAGAGGATGCCTTTGATGTGTATCAACCTAGTATTGGGGGATTGGGTAGGGAGTGGGTCAAGGTCACACGAGATGATCATCCCTGTGCACAGGGTTCCTTTGGTTATTCTTCTGTACAAGTTTAAAATGTCCCATGTGTGTGTGTGCATGCTAAGTTGTTTCCATCCTGTCAGGCTCTTTACGACCCCATGGACTGTAGCTGGCTAGGCTCCTCTGTCCATGGGATTCTCCAGGCAAGAATAATGGAGGGGGTTGCCATGCCCTCCTCCAGGGGATCTCCCCAACCCAGGGATCAAACACATGTCTCCCGTGGCTCCTGCATTGCAGGCAGATTCTTCATTGCCGAGCCATTGGGGATGTTAGTCAGTTCAGTTGCTCAGTCATGTCGGACTCTTCATGACCCCACGGAATGCAGCATGCCAGGCTTCCCTGTCCATCACCAACTCCCGGAGCTTACTCAAACTCATGTCTATTGAGTCAGTGATGCCATCCAACCAGCTCATCCTCTGCCATCCCTTTCTCCTCCTACCTTCAATCTTTCCCAGCATCAGGGTCTTTTCAAATGAGTCAGTTCTTCCCATCAGGTGGCCAAAGTATTGGAGCTTCAACCACAGCATCAGTCCTTCCAATGAATATTCAGGACTGATTTCCTTTAGGATTGACTGAGTTGATCTCTTTGCAGTCCAAGGGACTCTCAAGAGTCTTCTCCAACACTACAATTCAAAAGCATCAGTTCTTCGGTGCTCAGCTTTCTTTATAGTCCAACTCTCACATCCATTCATGACTACTGGGAAGACCATAGCTTTGACTATACGGATGTTTGTTGGTAAAGTAATGTTTCTGCTTTTTAATATGCTATCTAGGTTGGTCATAACTTTACTTCCAAGGAGCAAGCATCTTTTAATTTCATGGCTGCAGTCACCATCTGCAGTGATTTTGGAGCCCAAGAAACTAAAGTCTGTCACTGTTTCCATTGTTTCCCCATCTATTTGCCATGAAGTGATGGGATCAGATGCCATGATTTTAGTTTTTTGAATGCTGAGTTTTAAGCCAGCTTTTAAACTCTCCTCTTTCACTTTCATCAAGAGGCTCTTTAGTTCCTCTTTGCTTTCTTCCATAAGGGTGGTATCATCTGCATATCTGAGGTTATTGATATTTCTCTGGGCAATCTTGAGTCCAGCTTGTGCTTCATTCAGTCTGGCATTTCACATGATGTACTCTGCATATAAGTTAAATTAATAAGGTGAAAATATACAGCCTTGACATACTCTTTCCCCAGTTTGGAACCAGTCTGCTGTTCCATATCCAGTTCTGACGGTTGCTTCTTGACCTGCATACAGGTTTCTCAGGAGGCAGGTAAGGTGGTCTGGTATTCCCATCTCTTGAAGAATTTTCCACAATTTCTTGTGATTCATACAATCAAAGGCTATAGCACAGTCAATGAAGCAGAAGTAGATGTTCTTCTGGAATTCTCTTTCTTTTTCTATGATCCAATGGATGCTGCCAGTTTGATCTCTGGGTCCTCTGTCTTTTCTAAATCTAGCTTGAGCATCTAGAAATTCTCAGTTCATGTACTGACTGTTGAAGACTAGATTGGAGAATTTTGAGTATTACTTTGCTAGCGTGTGAGATGAGTGCAATTGTGTGGTAGTTTGAGCATTCTTTGGCATTGCCTTTCTTTGGGATTGGAATGAAAACAGACCTTTTCCAGTCCTGTGGCTACTGCTGAGTTTTCCAAATTTGCTGGCATATTGAGTGCAGCACTGTCACAGCATCATCTTCTAGGATTTAAAATAGCTCAGCTGGAATTCCATCACCTCCACTAGCTTTGTTCATAGTGATGAAATGTCTCATAATAGAAGATAAAACATTGACAAGAATAAAAAGTCAAACTGGGTCACTTTGTGTGAACCTGGATGAGTCCCTCCCGGGTGCTGGGTGGTGGGAAAAGGCTGTCATGTCATTGAATCCTCCCTTATCTCCCTTATACAATGAGGAAACATACTAAGAGAAGCTTATGATTGATTGCTGAGGGTGCTGAAGCTGGAAGCATTGACTCTGGGTCAGGCATATGGTCAGTCTCTTCTTTGCTGAGCTGCCCTCCACTCTGCAGACAAAGCAAACAGGGGTGCAGTGACCTTATTAAAGACAACGTGGAATGATCTAATGGCTAGGAAAGGTTCCAGGGGTCATCCCTACTGCAGGCCCCCTCCAGCAATTTCCTGCAGTGGCCCCAGAACCTGTCTAGACACTGGCCGTGTAGGACATGGTCCTCCAGGGGTGGCCGGCTCCTCTGGCAGGCAGGTCTGCCAGAAAGCATTCACAAGTGGGAGGAAAACGACTCTCTAGTCTAATTTCCACCCATCTGTCCTCGTTCTGCCCTTCATAACCCCACAGGGTAATCCTTCTTCCCAGACAGTTTTGCAAATATTTGGATTCTGCCGTCTTGTGCTCTGCACACTTATCTTCCAGACTGAAGGTTCCCCGTGTGTCAACTACCCTCCCATGGCCTGCTGGTGGCTGTCCTTAGATCCCAAGCAAGGGCACTGTATTCTAGACGTGTCGGACCAGTAAAGAACAGAAGACAGCCCCCCGGTCCTGTATTTGTAATACTTGCTTTTATCCATCTTAAGAATGGGTTCCTTCTTGGGGCCTGGGATGCTGTTAAAACATCTCTTCCCATCAGGTTTTGGTCCAAATAGGATGGGGGAACACAGATTCACAGACTTCTCCCACAGGAGCAGAGCTTGGAAGGTACATCTCCCCTGTGTCTTTCTCATAAAAGTCTCCAGCTATGAATGTGGGGCATGTGGTGCTCGTGGCCTCATCTGAGATTCTCTCCTCCATGCTCTGCAACCCTTAGAGAGGGTGGGACAGGGCTCACAAGGTCATCTGGAAGCATCAGAGCCAAGGCTCAAACTGGAGCCTATCAGATTCCAGGTCACGTTTCCCAACTACAGAGGGAGAGGGAGTGAACTCCTGCCCATCCCTACCTTCATCCTTGGCACTAGCTTCGCCATCTGAGTTTTGCTGGCCCAGTGTTGGGGCACTGGTGCTAAGGTCTGCCTATGGCAACCCCAGCATGAAAAGAGAGGAGGCCCTTGAAGAAAGTGAGGCTCTCAGTCCCATTATCGATCATTTAGGAATGGCTTCATTTTAAAACTCTCAGTCTGGTTACCAGCAGCTCCTGGGCATCAGGAAAGTGACCTCAGGTAAGCTGGAAGGGTTCCTGCAGCCTGGGATCTACAGCCAAGACTGGGGGTGGAGCACCTTGACTCTTAACTAGCTAGTTAGTGGCTCAATCATGTTTGACTCTCTGAGACCCCATAAAGTGTAGCCCGCCAGACTCCTCTGTCCATGGGATTATCCAGGCAAGAATACTGGAGTGGGTAGCCATTCCCTTCTCCAGGGATCTTTCCCACCGAGGGATCAAACCTGAATCCCCCACATTGCAGGCAGACCCTCTGAGCCACCAGGGAAGCCCTGACTCCTACACTACACATAGGGGACTCCTGGCTGGTTCACTGGGAACTGCATCCCTTTCTCTGGACAGCGTCCCTCAGCAAGCCTACTGGCCAGATCAACCACCTTCTCAGGCCTGTCACTTCTTCCTCCAGGGCAGAGGATTTGGAGCAGTCTTCGGAGGGCACCTAGGTTCTCAAACCAATGGGTTAGTGTAAATGTGTGTCGCCAGGGGTGATCAAATGGTGAACACTGAGCAAACAGTTGGCATGGGGGCACACAGAAGGGGTGCAGCAAAACCTGGATTGGTACCTACCCACCTCACCCTGGGGAAGTGGCAGAAGGCTTGGTTTGAAATGTTCTTATCCAAATTAGATTTGCTTAGAAACAAAGGCGCAAGCGTTCTCAGAGCCCACGTGCTTTGTCCACCCATTGGGCAGGTCGGGTCCCCAGCAGAACAGCATCAGAGCCTGGGAGTTCGCAAAACCTTGGAGATTTGGAGGAGGGTGGAGGCTCCAGAGGGTGAGGTCAGGTCAGGCTCCCAGAAGGGGCAATGCTTCAATAGCAGGTGGTGAGGAGGGGGTAACTGGGCACATCATCAGAACGTGTGTTGGACCCAGCAAAGGCCTGGCCAGGGCAGAGGTTAGCCTTTGGGGGATTGGGGGGTAGGGGGAAAGGTGGAAGGTGGGGAGGGAAGAGGTCAGAGGGAAAGAGTGGAGATGGAAGGTGGCAGGGGCGGGTGGAGATGGAGGGAGTGGAGGAGTGCAGGAAGGTGAAGAAAGGGGAGGGAAAAGGGGAGGGACGGAGCGGGTGGGGGATGAGAAGTAGGGCGGGGAGCCGGGAGGCGAGGAGGAGGAGGCAGGAGAGAGGGGGAAGGGAAGCGAGAGGAGGCGGGAAAGGGAGGAGGGGAGCGGAGGAGGGGCCTGCGCGCAGCCCCGCGCCCTCCCTCCCGCGCCGGCCTCCGCGCCCTCCCTCGCCGCAGCATCCCCGAGTCGCCTGGCCGCGCCGCCCCTCCGCGCCGGGCCTCCGAGCCGGTCGCCTCCGCCTCCGCCGCCGCCATTCCTGCGCCCGCGCTCGCCTGGCCCGGCACCGCGGGGCCGCGCGGCCAGGACACGCCGCGCCAGGTAAGGGGTGGCGGGTAGAGGGCGGGCGCGGGCGGTGCAGGTGCGCGGGGGCGGCGAGACCCTCCCCCAATCGGCCCCCGGAGCCAGCCCGGAGCCTCCGCCCCGAAGACCCCTGACTCCTCCCGGGACTCCCGGGGCCTCCCCGGAGCCCCCTTCCCGGAGCTCTCTGACTTCTCCCCAGACCCCTCTTTGAGTCCCCTCCCAGGAGCCCCCAGGACCCCTCCCCTCCCCGGCTGCCTCCCTGCCCCAGCGCGCAGGTGGCTTGGCAACGCTTGGGGCTCGGGGCGGGCGGCAGACCCTGGCCGGGGCGGGGGCGGCGTGTTCTGCCTGACCGGCGGCTCCCGGCTCCTGTCCGCCCGGCCCCCGCCCCACTCCGGCCATTCAGGCCTGGCCCGGCCCCGCGGTTTCTATTTCTGTCGGCGAGGCCGCGGCCCCCGGGCGCTAGACCCCGAGCCGCGCACTCAGACAGGTGGGGCAGGTCGGGGGCCCTGGCAGCGAGTGTTGCAGGCCTCGGCTTCCTTTAGGGTTTTGGCTGCGTGATTCTAGAATAGCCAAGGAGAATCGGCTGCCTTAGCTCAGGGCTGCACCTGTTGCCGCCGCCTGGTGAACTGCAGGAGGCTGAATCCACTGGGGTTTTGCCCGTGCAGACGCTGGAAAGGAGAGTTGGGTCGTGATGGTCCCCTTCGTTTATTTCATTTAGTGTTGGGGATGGGGGTGTGTGGGCGTCTGGAGGTGGGCAGTTCACCAAAAACGAGGCCTGTGGTTCAGGGCAAGGGTCCCCGCTTTCTGGAGCGTTTGCTATGCAAAGTTGTTCTGCTTTTGATTCGAAAACCACCACTTATGTTAAGCACATCTAGGACTTGGGGACTGTGGCCAAGTGTCTGCCCCCCTCCCCCCCCCCCCCCATTCTGAATCTATTCAGATCCACTAGGCGCCACTGAGCGGAAGTTTCCTTTCCAAGGTTGAGTGACATCGGTGGCCTGTCACCTCATACCTGCCCCAGGCCTGGGGCCTGCCTTCTGGCTGCCTGGGTGCTGTATTTTGGGAATGTTTACTGTGTCCCAGAAACAGGCTGCCTCAGCTAGTGCTGGGGCCAGGATTCTGGCAGAGATAATGCCCCGATTGTCACTTGAACCGTTGATGTCTGTGCACATCGTCTGCAAGAATAAAGAAGAATAAAGCAGACCTGCTCGGAGTACTCCAAGCAACCAGTCCTGCCAGGGGGAAAGCCTGCAGGGATGAGGGGATGGTGAAGGGATTCACTGGGGCATTTCTGGGGACAAAGGCTCTCCCCGCCAAGAGGCTAGACCTTCAGATTGCAAGGAGAAAAAAAAAAAGTTTGTATTATGAACAGCAGGTAAACCAAATAAAGAAAGAAAAACAACCTGCTGACCCTGAGAGGCAACCCAGCCCTGGTCTACTCTTGAGCCGTGTTAGAGGACCGTGAGCTGGCATTTGAGAGGTACTGGCTCCCTATGATTGCTGGAAAATGCAGCGTTACCCCTCTGCTGGTAACGGGCGTGCTCTGGCAGCCTTCTTTGGGGTCCTGGCAGATGGTGCATCCACCCCAGCTCAGGAGTGCAGGGCCACACCGCACAGCTGTCCAGTGGGTCTGGGGGCAGGGAGATGACCATAATGACATCATTCACTTGTGATCCAGTCCCTGTGGGTTAGCCAAGGCAGGTTTCATCTCAAGCGCCTTCCCCCATCACCAGGCAGGGATGTCTAGGCCAGTCTTGGGAGCGCACGCTAATGGCTGACTCTGAGTGAGGGGGGAGGACCATCCGCTGGTGCCAGCACATAGCGAAATCAATAATGTGTTACAGAGATCAATGGTTTTCTCATTGGTCCTCTGTGCTTCCAAAGAGAGCCTGCCTCTCCCACACTGGGCACGGACAGGTTCAGGCCTCCCACCCCTCCCTCTGGGTTCTGTTTCTGGTTGGGGGTGGATGGGTGCGGCCAGGAGCCTCTTCCTGATCCCTTGTGTGGTGAGCCTGGGGCTCCTGGATTGGCAGCAGGGTCCCGTGTCCCCTCCCACCACCAGGCGTCCCCAGTGTCCCTGGGTTAGGCCCCTGCTGTTGCATAAGTGTATTGACTTCCCAGTTGTTCCTTAATTCACAGCGACCTTCCCCTCATGCTAACAATTTGTTCAGAAGAACTCCTGAGAAGGTGATGTGGCAGGTAGTGCATCCCAGTGCCCCCAGCCCCCCATCCTGTCTCTTCTGGGAGTGACAACAGTGACCAAGTTCACCATCCAGGTCTGCAGGGTGGCCATGGGGTGAAGCTGGCCATGTAAAAATACACAAATGAATTTGCCACCAACTGACTGTCGAGGGTGGCTGCGGGAAGAAAGACTGCTGTCCTTTGTGGGGCTCGGCAGATGCAATCTCCCCTGCTCCACCCGTGCCTCTGGGGCCCTTGGCCATTCAGGGATGTCTCTGGGCGTCACCCGAGAGCGGGCCGGTCAGGCAGGCTCCTCTGCACTGGAGATTAGGCACAGCTCGTGGCCATTGCAGTCTGCCTGCTGTCAAAAGGTGATGGAGAGAAGTGGAGATTTATTAGGAGGAAATATCTGCTGATTCAGTCAAGTGGAGACAGCACGTGAGTGGGCCTTGCCTGGAGCTGGGCTGGCATTGTTCAGTGCACCAATTAAGGTGATCTTTGGGATAAGCAAATTGGCTCATCGCAACTCCTTGGAGTGGCTCACTTTGAGTTGCCTGTCCCTTCCTGAGTGCATGGTCATTTACCTGGAGATATTGTACCTGGACCAGACATCACAGCAGCCGGGAGTCCCCCCATAGCTGCCTTCCAGCATGCCCTGTGATCCTCCAGTAGGACTGGGTCCTTTATTTGGTCTAAAAGTCTCAGGTGCTATGAAAGTGGACACTGCACCCCTTCCCCTGGTCACTTCTATGTATTACTCGGGATTGCAGCTTTGAACGAAATGCAGTTAACCAGCATTTGAGTCAAGAATCACTCCTTTCAAAAAATAATGGTATTTAAAGTTTAAAGACAGTTGGGCGTTTGTTGAGTGAACAGTGATTTTTAAAAGATAATTATATTCCTTAACAACAGTATTGTGGTTATGTTCACACAGTCTTTACCGTTTAGCTGTAGATGCTGGAGTGATCTGCAGAGGAAGTGAGAGCTGTGTTTGAGAACTGTTTCAGATTAGCGTGGGTGGGGGATGGGTTGGGTGATGGAGGGGGCAGCATTGACCATGCTTGAGTGGTTGTTAGCTCTGGGTGATGATATCTGAGGGTTTGTTAGTCTCTTCAGTCTTTATCTTTAGTCAAGTCTTTATCATAAAATAGTTAACGATCTAAGAATCCCATCTCCCCCTTTCAAATGCCATAGGATCCTTCACTTCATGGAGTAGTTGAGGTTTACTTTAAAAGAAGTGCTGATGAGTTAAGTGAAAACATTGCTTCTTAGTGTAGACTGTATAGAGTGATCCCCTTTACACATGTATAGGTCATAAAGTGTAGAAGCATCTGGAATGACACCCACCGTGTGTCAAACAGACGGTGACAGAGCACCCTTGGTGGATGAGGAGGGCAGGCGTTGCTCAAGACTCGAGGGACACAGCTCCGAGCAAGAGCGGCTGTCCAGCTGGTGACTGGGATGTGAGGGAAGGATATATGTGGGCATGTGAGTTGTGTGAGCTTGGGTGTTGGCAGAGGGTTGAGAAGGGGGTGGAAGGGGAATCTCTCCTTTTACCCCCTCATGTATTTCCATGCGGTTTGTTCCTTTTACTGTGGGATTGTTTTTGTAATGAGAAAAGGTATTTGAAAGAAGGGCTCTCCATTAGGAAATGTGCTTAGTTGCTCAGTCGTCTCCGATTCTTTGTGACCCTAAGGCCTGTAGCCCACCAGGCTCCTCTGTTCATGAGGATCCTCCAGGCAAGAATACTGGAGTGGGTTGCCATGCCCTCCTTCCAGGGATCTTCCCAACCCAGGGATTGAACCCAGGTCTCCCACATTGTCGGTGGGTCCTTTACCATCTGAGCCACCAGGGAAGCCATTAGGGGATAGAAAAACCTGGGCTTTTTGCGATATTTATTTATTTAGCTTCGTGGGCTCTTAGTTGTGGTACTTGGGATCTTCAGTCTTTGTTGTGGCATGCAGGTTTGGCTTGTGGAATCTAGTTCCCTAACTGGGGATCGTATCCAGGCCCCACCTGCATTGGGAGTTCAGAGTCTTAGCCAATGGACCACCATGGGAGTCCCTAGAATAGCCTGTTTTAAATATTAAATTTCTAAATCTAAATTTATTCAAAATGGATTTGACGTGTAGGAATTCATGTTCCTACACAACGTAATAACATGATGTGGCTTCAGTGAGGCAGTCAATGGATCCATAGGCATTGTTGCTCTGAGCCTGTGCTCTGCGGGCCATGAAAAAGAGACACCAATACCCTGACCTCAGCAACAGGGGGGACGAGACCCAGACCCTGAAAGTTTAACAGCAACGCCGTTCCTCAGTCTGGGCAGTATGCTGAGGTACCATGCTGGCCCTGAGCCATGGGATGGGGAAGACCCTTAGCTCAGACCCACCACGGTCCTGGTTTAAGTGGAGAAGCACATTTCCTTCCATGAGACTTGACCCAGCAGCAAAAGCAGTGACAGTACAGAGCCTTCATGGGTGGATTTCCACTGCTATTTGGATGACCTGCCACTGTGGGGCTGTTCCACGCATCTTCAGCAGTTGCTGTTTTTCATTTAGTAGAGGATATGTTAAGTAACTTTCCTCTATAGCAGCAACAACAACAAAACCCATAAAAATGCTAAGTCCACAGAGTAAAAAAGTACAAGTTGCCTGGAATCCTCAGGGCTTCCCGCCCCCTCCATTTTCCTGTCCTATTACAAGAAATTTGAGTTGCTCAAGTACCAGAATGTAATTGGCTTTGATCTAGCATCTGGGTGGTGTTTGGCTCTGAAGCATGTTTTTGATTTTGTTTGCAAGGACACTACGTTCCCGGAGACCTACTCTGAATAAGGGCCTCAGCTGGACCCCACTTTGTTCTCACCATGTATTTGGGAATTTTGTTTGTTGTTGTTGTTGTTTACCAGTATTTTCCATGTTTGCGGGGAGGCCACAGCCGGGCCCGCAGTGAGGTGGCTCATGTGCTCTGAGCCTGGGGTCTCGACTCCATGGCCATGAGCTGCCTGCTATCAGAACAGACTGTAGGCGCACGGCTCATTTTTCCATTGAGATCAGATGTGTTCTCTGCATCTCAGTCCTTTCCAGAGGCCTTAGTGATCCTGTCTGAACAGAGCTGTGCTCTCTGGGCATTCGGGGCACCCAGGAGGTCTGTGTCCTTTGTAGGCAAGTTCCCGTCATTCATCTTTTTAGAGGGAAAGAAATTAGGTACTCAGGTGGCACTAGTGGTAAAGAACCCTCCTGCCAATACAGGAGACTTAAGAGATGCGGGTTCGATCCCTGGGTTGGGAAGATCCCCTGGAGGAGG